AGCCATCTCGTTGTGCTAGCCCTGATTTAGCTGCGGACTGCAGCATTGCTGTGGCAGTATGGAGCTCCTCATGGCAACAGCCCTCCAAGTTCAGGCCCAGACCATGGTGGGGTGGTTATGCTGCTGCTAGTCTAGCTGGCTGCCTTGTCAACTCAAGCTGCCATCGCTCCTCTGCCCCCTGTGCCATTCGCTCTTGTGATTTTCTGCTCTTGGGTCAAAGGCGTGGTACCAAGTCCTGTGTAATCCAACTAGCCAGGCCATTCAAAGACCCTGCCCAGGTCTCTAACTAAAAGAAGAGTGATATGGCACTGGGATTTCCAGAGTGCTGGGAGGTCAGAATGGGAGAGGAGAGAAATAACAGGGAGGAAATTGAGACGTTGCATTGCATCTCTCACGGTGGTGCAGTTTGAGGAACCAGCACTCTGTCTTCTAAAGCTATCTTTCACACGGAGGCACAGTTTTTTTCTTACCTCTATCTTTTCTCTGCATTGGTACCTGCAGGCCTGAGGTTAGGACCTCATTATGCAAAGGATTGTATAAATTAAAGGGAAAAGGCTGACTCTCAGCTGAAAAACTTAACATTTTTCAGTGGTGGGAGAAGGAAAGCAGATATCCAGAGCACAGTGACATGCCTACAACTTACTTCTCCCTCCCTCCACCAGATCTGTTCCTACTTCTTCTGGGAACAGCAGTCACGGGTCAGCCCAGCCACTGGGCTCCCTTAGGCCCTCTCTTCTCCTACAGGACAGGGTCTCAAGTTCTCATACAAATTCAAGTAATTGTGCAGGCTCCTGGGAAATACACGAAAGGGCACTTTCTCGAACAGTGTCAATGCCCAGACCACACTTCCTGCAGTGTATATTTAATGTTGTGCACATTGTTAACTAGCTGAAGGTTTTCACATGCTCAGTTGCCTAATAGAGAGTTTCTTCCATCCGCAACAAACAGCACTCAAAAAAGTTTTTTACCTTGTTTGGTCACATTCATACATGCTCCTTTTCTGTTTCAATTGCTCAGCCGTTATGTGGCTTAAGCGCATTTGAACTGCTTGCGTATTTTGGCCTGTACTTTAGGCTTCATGGTTATCAATGTTTTTTTTTATGCCCCCACTTAATTTAAAGGTGGCTTGTAAATGCAAC